CACGCCCAGAAAGAGATCATAGAGAAGATGGTCAAGGAGATGTTGGATTCCGGAATTATAAGACCAAGTCACAGTCCATTCTCAAGTCCAGTGCTTTTAGTTAAAAAGAAAGACAATAGTTGGCGTTTTTGTGTTGACTACAGAGCATTGAATAGAGTGACAGTACCAGATAAGTTTCCGATACCAATGATTGACCAACTCTTGGATGAGTTGAATGGCTCAGTTTGGTTTTCAAAATTGGACCTTAGAGCAGGTTATCATCAGATAAGGATGCGAGAAGAAGATGTGGCCAAAACAGCCTTTAGGACTCATGATGGACACTACGAGTTTCTCGTCATGCCGTTTGGGTTAACAAACGCTCCAACGACGTTTCAAGCACTCATGAATGAGTTGTTTAGGCCATTTTTAAGGAGATTCATCTTGGTATTTTTTGACGATATTTTGATCTATAGCTCGTCTATGGAACAACATATTGAACATTTGGAAATAGTGATGAAAATATTGGAAGAGAATCAGCTATTTGCCAACAAAAAGAAATGCATGTTTGGTCAAAAACAAGTGGATTATCTGGGACATATCATTTCTAGTGATGGGGTATCTACTGATCCAGCAAAAACAAAGGCAATGACTGAATGGTTGACCCCTAAGTCAGTGAAGGAATTGAGAGGATTCTTGGGTCTGACTGGGTACTATAGAAGGTTCATTAAAGGATATGGAGTTTTAGCAAGACCATTAACAGAGCTACTGAGAAAGGACAGCTTTGAATGGAATAATACAGCACAAGTAGCATTCGATAACTTGAAGAAGGCAATGTCTACTGCCCCGGTTTTGTCTTTACCAGATTTTGCTGAAGTTTTTACAGTGGAAGCAGACGCCTCAGGATATGGGTTAGGCGCAGTTTTAATGCAGAATAGAAGACCTATTGCATTTTTTAGCCATGGTTTAACTGCTAAGGAGCAGCTAAAACCAGTATATGAAAGGGAATTGATGGCTATAGTGCTTTCTATACAAAAGTGGAAACATTATTTGTTTGGAAGGCATTTTGTGGTTCATACAGATCAAAAAAGTTTAAAATTCCTTTTAGATCAGCGAGAGGTGACAATGGACTATCAAAAGTGGTTAATCAAGCTGTTGAATTATGATTTTGAAATCATATATAAGCCTGGAGTGGAAAATACTGCAGCTGATGGTCTATCTCGGAAGATACAACCCCTGGGAGTAATACAAGCCTCTGTTTTGATGGCATTGACAGTACCAACTGTGTTGCAGCTTCATGACATTTATGAAGAGATTGAGAAGGATGAAGGTATCCAGAATAATATTCAGTCTTGTATAGCAAATCAAAACAAGGACAATGGGTATGAAGTGAGAAATGGAAGATTATGGTTCAAGAACAGATTAGTCTTACCAAAAACTTCAAAGTTCATTCCAATGATATTGGAGGAATATCATACCGGGTTGTTAGGAGGCCATTCAGGTGTGTTAAAAACTGTTAAGAGATTACAACAGTCTTTTCATTGGGATGGTTTGATGAAAGATGTTCAAAAGTTTGTCTCGGAGTGTGATGTTTGCCAAAGACATAAGTATTCTACACTGTCTCCAGCCGGTTTATTGCAGCCGTTGCCATTACCG